AGAATTCCATGGACTGCATAGTCCATGGAGTCGCAGAGTCGGATATGACTGAGCGACTTTCATCAGTGTTCTCTTCTAAATGGCCAAACACATCATATAAACCTTCAAGTCCATTCCCATGCACTCTGGTCCTGGAGGGAAGGGGAAGGGGACCAGAAGACTGGTGCAGCGTAAGCAGAGATTTACCTGATCCTGTTTTCAGCCCTGCATCTCACCCTGGCCCACCCTCGACCCCGCAGTATCCAAGGCCTTGATGTTCACAGGTCCACTCTCCCAGAGTAAACCTCCTCTCCTGCCTCACTGAGGGTGCTCATCTGGCTGCTCAGGGTGGGGAGGGTTTCTGGGCTTCCAGCCACTTTCCCAGCTTTGAACCAATTCCTTGCTCAGACTTGCCCCACACCTCACCACCTCTCTGCTCAGTGTCTCCAAGCCTTGAATCTTTGAGGTCGTCTTACAGGATGAATTCTGCACTGATTTTAGCACAAACGCTCCAACCTCTTCACAGATCTTAGATTACTGTACTCTCTCATCCACCAACGTCTCCTCTACCACTCTTGTGGGTTTATTCCAACTTCATTCCTCTTGAGTGGGGCTTTGAGAGATATCAACTAATACATGATTAATCTGCTGTTTAGAGTCTCTTGTTTATTTTTTAAAAAGTAGACTAAAAGTATATCTAAGTTTATAGGGTTATAGGAGACCAACCTGTTAGTCGTTGATGGAAATTTTAACTTAATTCCACGTGTGATATTTTCTTCTAAAGCAGAGGTCAAAACTGAAATGCCTATAGAACTTCGAGCATAGTAACACATGGGTAAAGTAAGGGAAGGAGAGGTGGGGACTGTGGCCAACTGCAGAGGCCAGAACTGTCTGAAGGACACAGCAGTGATCCGGGTCCAACTGAACACGGAAATGCAGACCTTCTGACCTTCCCAGGAAAACCAGGCATGGATTTGCATTTGCCATCTCCTGATAGTTCAGACACTGGCAGTTCAGGTTCTTCACCCGATTCACCCACAGCACTCGTTCTGGCCATCAGATGCCTTCCCTGATGGACTAGTTGCCTAAAGGAACAGCAACTTCATGCTTACTGGCTCTACTCTTCATCACTTGTCAGTAGCTCCCCTGCATTACGCAGCCGTGTGTACAGTCGGTTGTTTACCCCACCTGAACGTTAGACCACGGCTGTGGTCCTTTCTGCCACTGCTGTTGAATGGATGAAATGACACAGACCACAGTCTGAGCCTGTATGTGCTTCAGAGGCTGGACGCTGTTCCTGTTCCGAAGCCTTCCGCTCACTGCACATCAGCTCTTCTCTGGGGGCATTTACACCACCACCGTGAACTTGCCAGAGCTCTGTGGACTTTTGAGGTGCACTGTTGACCTGCTTTTATTTCCCAACTAGAAAATCTGTATCTAGGAGTCGGAGCTACAGTCTGCTCGGTCTTCCGTGGTGCTTTACTCCCAGTGGGCCTTTAAGAAATGCTTCGATTTCCTCAGGCACAGGAGCCATTGAAACAAGCAGGCACTGAGATGTGTGTGACATTAAATACTGGGAAAAGATACTGAAAGCTGTTTCATTTTAATAGATGCCGTTTGAATTACGATAAACAATTTCTGGTACTTGGGCACCTCGCCTCTCAAAGACAGCAGCAAACTTTGGGTAGTAGGTGGCTGGTGTAACACAAAGTTACAAAGGCCTTGTGCATTTATTCTGGGCAAGAATTTTGTGATTTATATCCAAGAAAACTCTAATACAAACTTGACTCCATGCAGATAACTGTTAACAGGACAAAGGGACTCTGCCACCCAAGGCAAGTGTTTTAATGAAACACGTTAGTGCAGTTTTAAAAATTCTTTATTATAGGTACCCAAGGACTTGAGTTTCATCCTACATGAACCACCAGTGATCCAAAACCAACTGAACATCATCAACACAGGTGTGATCTGACTTTCCTGTATAGTTCACTCCTGTAATTTTTCAATGTGGGATTAGGGTTAGGGGACGACAACTGTCACTCCACGGGAGTCTGTGACATCCACAGCCATAGGTGTTTGATGGAGCTGTCGCTGAAGGAGGTGGGCGAGCCCCCTTTTTTCGGGGCATCGTAATCTGCTCTGAGAGGGGTGGAATGGTGGGTACGCAGAGTCACTGCAGAACGAACTAATTCTGGATGGTGACTGTGAAGTGGGCACAACTGTGTCTCCTCCAGGACTGGCCCTTCGCCCATCACACCAAGCACGCACCTGGCTCACAGTAGACATGCAATAACCACCTCCCGACAGTGGATGTTCTCTAATGCCCCTTCTAGTCCTAAGGGGTCACTTGGTCCCTTTCTGGCGCCAGGACAGGATTACAGTAAAGCTGATACAAACACTATCCTTGGGGTCAGTACCAAAAGATAGTCTTTGAAATATAATGGCTGGAAAATAAAGTCCTTTACATACTTTGGTTATTGAATCTCCTCCATGAGGCCCAACGCAGACTAACCCAGTGAGCTGGGAATGTTTCTAGTAATTTCAACCTAGACCAAGATTTCTATTTATCCTCACAGACTTCATACTGTGGACAGGTCAGTTAGAAAGCCCTCTATAATGTCTGTTAAATAAATAAAACAGTAAACTAAGGTTTGAATGGCCTCCAGGGCCACGTGAGAGTGGAGGAAAGTGGAGCAGCCATTTCTCTTGGCGGGGCTGGGTGCACACGGCATCTTACCGTCTCGGGCCACTCACCTATCAGCCATGTCTACTGCGTGGCTTTAGCTCTAACCTGTCCCCAGAGTGTCAGAGTCATTATTTAAGTGTATAATGGGCCTCTTCTATGTACAGCAAGTCTAAAATGAAACTTATTTTCTCCTCCCTACCCACAGCTATACATTCTAGCATTAAATTCTTGTAACATTAACAGCTAAGTTTGATTGGTCCGGTGACTGCCTGAGTGCCTGTGCTGTGCTGTAGCAGACACAGTCCTGTCTGGTGGGGAGAGGAGACGTGAAGGTCCAAGTGTAATCTAACAAGTGCTCGGCATGAAGGAGGGGACACTTCCTCCATTCGGCAGGCAGGACCACGTCACAGGACAGCCACACAGGACCTTCACACTGCCTTGGGCATCCTCCTTGGCCCTCCAGGCCAGATCCTTCTCTTATACACTTATTTCCTAGCAGGCACTTCACACACAGCAGCAAGCAAACACTTGAGAACGCCTGGGCCAAGAAATCGCGGTTCCAGGTACTGGGGAACAGGCCACAGGTGAATATACCAGCAGCCTCTGCTTGCACGCGGGGCCTCCCTCTTTGCAGCTCTGGTCTGAAGGAGTTCAAACATCGTAGAATGTCTCTTTTTTTAAATTCTCAGGAAGACCTTCCCCACTGAACTGACTATACAGATGAACTCTGCCAAACTTTCCCAGATGGTTAAATGCAGACACTCCTATATCTGCATGTCATCATCGCAAACGTGGGACACTTAGCATCTGCCTGATTCTCTTCAAAGTCCTTACTATGTGTGCTGTGCATTTAACTCTCACAACACACCTGCGTGGCGGGCACCATGGGTACTCTACGAAGAGGCAGGAGAGGCTAGGAGAGTGGCTAGGGTCGCGGAAGGGGCGCGCTGGAAGTGCTGGCCGGCTCTGTGCCCCTGCCACTGCCCTCCTCCCAGCACTCCTGTCTTCTGCACTCTGGCACGTCCAAGGACTAAGTCCGGGCATCTGCACAGTAAGAACAGCGTTCAGCAAACGGCCAGGAGGGGGAGTGGCCATTCAGCTTTGCCCCCTCCCACCTAAGACCAAGCTGATCTCTAAACAAGCATCAAAACCCGAAGCTCATCAACACCGCTGTGTGCTTCGGTATGGGGAGCACCAAGATGATGGACAATTACATGCTGATAATCCAGGGCCCAAGAGCCCAGTTAAACAACTGCAAAGGCCCAGGATCATCAGCGTATGCAAATGCACAAGGAAAGTCATTACTTTCAGTCCCCTTCATTTTGGTGGGTTTAACATGAGAAGAATCATCCATGTTACAAGGCAAGATTTCATTTTACAGTTGTGGTAACCAAGTACATAAAAGCTTGAATCTGTCCCAATAGCTTCTGAAGGATTTTTCCCACAGTGTCAGAGGCAAAAATAATGAAATCTTGCAAACGTACAGTTAATGGGGCCCGGGTGGACACTAACCTCAAAAATGCATGGTCTGTAAGACATTAAAGGCTTGATTTTAGTTTCTGCAGTGTTCCTGTTAATAACAATGTCTAATTAAAACATCTGTGAAATACTGATAGTTTTAATTTTACATAAAATTTCCAAAACAACTGTTACACAGTATAATAGGTATCTGCAATGAATAGGTTATTAATGGAAATATTATTTTAAATTAAAATCAGGTTCTAAATTTAAATTAGTCATCTCTGGTTAATGAAGAGAAAAAGAAGTCACCCAGGCTGGGAATAATACAGTAGCTAATCTAGTTTTCAACATCTGTGAAAGCAAATCCACTCCATCACTTGGGCTAAAGGACAATTTATTTTGCTGCTTCTGTCCTGTACTCTCCACTCGGCCCTTCTGACAGATTTCACAGCTGAACTCAGTGTTGAAACTACAGCCTAATGCACCCTTTAGTACAGTACTTTATAACTTACAAACAGATACCATTCAACTTTAGTCAGCCTGAACCCCACCAACTTACCAGTGAGGAGAGGGCAGAGAACACAAGGCTCCCTGCGGCAGACTCCTCCAGCCCCGCTAACCTGATGAATATTTTAAAAGGAACACTCAATCTCAGCTTTCCCTTTCCTTGGATCTCATCTTCTTTTACAAAATAAAAGGGATTAGCCAGGCTGAGTGGCTGGCTGCAATTCAATACCTTTCTTTCTAATTACTGAACAATAAAAGGGGCTTAACCCGTGAGCAGCGCTGAGTGGTCTGTCTAGGCCGGCGCTGAGTGTGTTGAGGGATTCATTCCAGTCGATGAAAAGCTGCATTTCAAGTTGCTTCAGATGGTTCACAGCAGATGCTGCAGAATGTGGTCCACGGCATGCGGGAAGCTCTCACAGGTTAAGTAAGGAGCTGGGTTAATTTTGTCTTCGTCTGCTGCTCGATATTTCCCTGAAATGAAAGTAAAGCCCGTGAACAAAGGCTCCTACTGTCAGGACGCCAGAGTAATCATGGCCTGTGAGCACCTGGGCCCCCACAGGCCGCCCTGACAGTGCTGAATCGGGGGCTCCACAGTCCCCAAAGCACCTTTCATCCAGGCTTCAGGATGCCACGAGGCAAAAGCCCAAAGCCGGATGTGTTTAGTATTTCCCAGGCCCTCTGGTCTCTCAGCAACGGATGCCGGATCCCAGGTACTGGGTAACCTGACAGTTAAGGGTGCCCTCAAATCTCCTCACCTGGTGAAATTCATTTTCCTCCCCCACCAGCCCTAAAGATACGGATGGTGATTAAATCAATGCTTTTACATGAGACCCAGACCCCACAGGACAGAGGCCTTGTCAGCTCACGGGTGGCTGGAAACTGCATGTGCTGCTGCCCAACAGGAAGCCTGTGAACGGGCAAATGAGCGCGCTGGGGCAGGGAGAGACAGATGGTCACGGTGCTCACGTGCAGGCTGGCCGGACAGGCTGCCTGGCAGGGCGCTGAGGAATTCAAGACCCACAAATGAACAGCCCAGCACAGCAGAGGAACTGCTCACACAGGGTCACAGAGCTGATCGGACAAATGTACATCAGGCCATGCATGACCCCCATTTAGACACCCTTAATGTGTCCCAGTGCTCTTCAGAAAGAACCCCAAATGTCCTGTTGCCTACCAGGCCCTCAGTCACCCAACTCAGCACCCCTTACACGGTGGGCATTCTGCAGCACTTGTTAAACGAAAGGAAGGAAGGAAAGAAGGGACGGAGGGAAGAGGGGCGGAACACTGCTTCAGTCAAGGCCCTGGGGATGAGGATGTCTGCCCTGCGGCCTCAGTGCAGCCTCTGCACTTGCCCTTTCTGCATGCTCTCTCATCCCCCTCTCTGTGAGCCTCTTTATTTTTCTGCAATTTCCAGTATTCTCTGCCTAAATCTGGGCTTCCAAACAATAGGCTCACCATTTTCTACAATACAATCCCCTTTGTTTTCTACAACTACCTAAGAGGTTTTGTGCAGCAAACATGAAGCCTGAAAACCCCCAGCCCACAACGTGGCACTGTGGTGGTGACATTGCTCCTGTCCTGCCTTGCTGACTTGTGAATTCCTACAGGAAAGGAGCCAGCGTCAAACGCACAAAGGTAAACTTCCCCAGCATCCTCAAGGCACCTGTCCACAGCATGGTCCACACAGCAAACTCTCCTGCTCATTTCTTCTTAAGCTTAAATCCCACTGAGTTATCCTTTGCAAGGTTTCTGCTTGGTATCACAGGTAAGTTAATGACTACTTTTTACTATACCACCCACTTCTTGGATCTAAGGACCGATGTGTGAAAGTCAGGGTTCTTAGCCATGGAGAGAAGGGCTTGCAGCATGGTTCTGCTTGGTCTGGCCCTGGGGCTTCTACAAAGTACAAACTGACACAGCGGCTTACGTATGTGTGCAAGTTTTAGCAACCTGCACTGTGTCTGGCATGTGGCAGGTGCTCAACAGTGCTGGCCGAGTGAGTGGAGCAGGCCACCGTCACTCAGGCCTGACTCAGCACGGCAGTCTGTACTCTCCTGGATGAATAAATGTAAACGGAGGCAGAATGCTGGAAGCCATGTTGACGACGTTGGACAAAGGGTGATCCCGTCTCTCCTAGGTCACTGTTTTACATGCTAAACAGAATTAGATTCTGGTCAGGGCTAGTCAAAAGTCTTTATTAACAAATCATGGAGCAAATGTATACTGAGCATTTAACATGTGTTACTGAGAAACAAATTGCTCAAGACACTGAGTAAGTGAAAATTTCCATGGTAATTTTCAACACTGGGAAGCCGAGCACTTGTCCACTGCATTCAGTTCAAATCCATCAGTGGGACCAGCAGCTCTGTACGCTTGCAGAACAGTGGTCTTACTTGGGATTTTTTTTTTTTCTGACCAAAGATGAACAGTACAAATGGGCCTGTTTTCATGAGCTGAACTTAGCTACATAACTAAGTTAGACATTTTAGATGTGACTGTGTGCAGCTGCTGGCTTCTCTAAGCCCTCTGTGATGGGCTGACCACAGCCAACGGCCAGTCAGAAAAGGCAGAACCATGGCGACCAGCTCGGGGGAGCTGGGCCCACAAGACACTGGCGCAGCAGCAGTTTTCATACTTGGTGTAAATCCTTAATTATGTGAGCTAAGAAAGGAAATGTTCACGGGAACATAAGAATAGAAATAGTTATCTGTGGATTTCCTCAATGACTGGATCATAAAAGAGTGAATGTCAGGAATCTGAAAATTCCGGCACAAGGAAAGATGATGAGTGTGCCGATGAGTGTGCCTGTTTTTCTTGACTCCCTGATATGTCCCATCATCCTCTTTTTTGCTTCCATCAAAGCAGAGTCATGTTCCAGGCAAAGTGATCATTCTGAATGAAAAATGTACAAAACAGTACAAAAACAACTGTTAGTTCTAAAGTGACCAGAGTCACCATCTGCAAGGTTCCACTGATTCACCCCTAGACCTCCTGCATGAGAAGACTGCTTCCCTCTTCGTTCACACTGTGTGTGTGTTCAGTTGCACAGTTGTGTCTGAGTCTTTTGCAACCCCATGGACTGCAGCCCACCAGGCTTCTCTGTCCATGGGATTCTCCAGGCAAGAAAACTGGAGTGTGTTGCCATTACCTACTCCAGGGGATCTTCCTGAACCAAGGATCAAACCTGAGTCTCTTGCGTCTCCTGCACTGGCAAGCAGATTCTTTACCACTAGTGCTACCTGGGAAGCCAGCCCCATGCACAGGGCCTGGGAAGTACCTCTTATTCAATTATAGAAGCATCTCGTGTTTTTTGTTTGTTTTTAAATTCAAAATAGCTTTCATGCAACCACATTTTCTTGAACAAACATCACAGTCATGAGTAAATATACATTTTTCTAAAAATTTCCTGGTGGCAGGTCTTCTATGACTGTTCAAATCCTCCCTTTTCTGGACAACCTGTATGAAGCCAGGCATATGAACTCAAAGAGCCATTTATGGAATTTTCTGCTGTTATTGTTCAGTCACTACTCTGACTCTCCCCATGGACTGTAGCCCACCAGGCTCCTCTGTCCATGGGATTTTCTAGACCAGAATACTGGAGTGGGTTGCCATTTCCTTCTCCAGGGATTTCCCAACCCAGGGACTGAACCCACATCTCCTGCATATGCAGGCAGATTCTTTTTTTTTTTTTTTTTTCCCGCAGGCAGATTCTTAACTGCTGGGCCACCAGGGAAGCCCACAGAAACCCTTATCTGCTATTTAATTGATCAGAGTCTGATGACAATTCTTGGAATGGACCCCTGGCTGTGTCATCCTCAAACATGTGCTATTAGTTCTAAGCTCAGCAGGTACCCTCTGGCGGCAGGTGTTGGGGAGACCTGTTCACTTTATCTGGAAAGGCTGATCACGTTCTCAGCACAAAAGTACACGCCCACCCACAGCTGTCATGCCTGTCTTTCCTTACCTTAAGAGGATTTTATTCATCACACTCCACATTGGAAAATGGCACAGAGCTACAAGGGAGCAGTCCAGCCCCATCATCTATAAACAGCCCAAAGAGGTGAAGGGCTCTGACAGAATCTCAGAGTCAGTGTACAGCTGAGACCTAGATCCAAGACACCTAACTGGTCTGCTGTCATCATGATACTGTATTAGCTGAGGCTTCCCCATTAAGTTCTTACCCTTTCCTTAAATATACTTGAGGGACCACACCCAGTTTACTTAATTTTGATATAGGAAATTGTTACTAAAACAGTACATGAAAAGACAAGAAAAAAAATTTTTTATGTGTGTTTTTAAAAGAACATTAACACAAAGTTATCACTTAGCTAGTCAGTGCCCAAAGAGGTCAACATCATTATTTTATAGCTAGTGCAAAAAGAAAGGATATTTTTACAGAGCACCACGATCAATGGTTTTTTTGGTCAACTGGTGATTTGTATATCCATAAAATCATATAAAGGCTAACTGTCTTGTATATGACTATCTCTAAGAAAGTGTGAAAACACCTCTGAACTTGGATCTGATCTTCCTAGCTCACATCGTCTTTCTTCCCTGCAATCCTAAGCCCACTTTATTTTTGCTTTGTGGCAGAAAAAGAATTAAAGTACCCAGTGGGATTTGCCATTTTTTCAAAGACTATTCTTTAAGAATGGTGTATTCTACCATTCTGTTTCAGAGAAAGCTTGTACAGAAGATACGTACCTGTCTTGACTAAGATGCCCCGCATGCCGGCATTCTGAGCCCCACCAACATCATCTCTGCAGTCCTAGAAAAGCGTGACGAAGCGTTTAGTCCAGTGTCTTCAATGAGCCTGCCAGCCAACCAACCTACCAGCAATTTATCAGGCTGGGATGGCCAACTGCAATCCCATGTTTTTTCTTAAAACCAGAGCGAGGGAGGTATAAAAAAGGATAAACCCATGTGTAATAGTCTGAGGGAGCACACCAACTGGAAAGGGAAGCATCACGGAGGTAGAGGTAAAAACAGAGCAGTAACCCTAGTAACCAAACATGAAAAGGGCAGTGACAGGCCTTCATGTTTTGCCACATGTCCATCTATCTCTTTTTTAAAAATATTTTTTATTTTTATTTACTCGTCTCCACCAGGTCTTAGTTGCAGCATGTGGGATTTAGTTCACCGACAAGGGATCAAACCTGGGGGTCTCCTGCATTGGGAGCAGAGTCTCAACCACTGGACCACCAGGGAAGTTCCCATCTATCTCCTTTTAAAGCAGATCATAGAAAAAAGGTATTTTATCATTTGGCAGCTCTTAAGGCAAATGATCCAACTGCAGGGCAGTGAGTGAACTAGGTTCAGAAGACAGCTCTCATGCTGCCCACGTAAGACATTATCCTTACTTTTCATCCAAGTGTCAGTAATAGGAGGAAGCCGATCGTATACTTCAACAGATTCTGAGACTGTCTTCACACTTAGGAATTACAGACCAGTTTAAAAGGGAAGCTCTTGTTTTTCAATTCTTACTCAAGATAGGGGTGAATATACTCAGCTAATTGTGATAAACGCAAGGCAATAAAAATTCAAGAACTGGGAGAAACATCAATAAAATCAATCCTGCCATCTCATGTCTAGAAGCAGAATTTATTCAGATCATGCTCAAAGAAAAACTTTTCCCTTAAAATCATTCATGTAATTTAACAACAACCCTTGGAAATGAGTCTCAGAAGTCCTGTCAAAATCTTCACTCAAGGTCTAACTTAAAACCTTTTCTGTTGCATCTAAACCTGCCTTGTTGAAACAGGCAAGACGGGGGAGAGGGGAAAGGAGGAGGAGGTGGGAAAAAGTAGACATGAAAAGGGAGGGAAAGCTATCCCTCTCTCAGACAACCCCCCTCCGTGCAGCTGAATTCTGCTATCGTGTGCCCTTCCTCCCTTCCATGTTGTGCCAATAGCAGGGTCTCTAGGGACAAAGAATTCTGCAATCTCCAGGCTAAGGTAACCACTTTCTTGAATACACATTTGCCTAGAAAAGTCAGCTAAAGGCCTGCCAGAGGGACACGTTGGTGCTGAACAGATGGTTTTCCCAAGCAGGCTTGGGCCCAGTGATATCCCAGCGGGTGCTGGTGCGGGAACCTGGCAGTAGAAGCGGGCAGTCAGGAAGACTGCGGCCCTGAGCAGCAGCGCAGCTCGCCGCAGCGGGGCCGATAGCCGCTCCTGGAGGGGGCCTGGACGAGAGCCCTACTTCCAGCCCTGCCGCTCAGCGGCCTGGGACTTCCGCCGTGAGGCCTGCCTCTCTGGGCCAAGGTTTCTCAGCTTGTAAGTGAGGAGGTTTGGACCGGACAATCTTGATGGTCCCTTCCAGCCCAAGGCATTATTATTTAAAATTGAAACATAATCCTTGCCACCTACTGACCACAAGGTAGCGTGCTTTCTAGTACTTTTGCCTCACAGCACACACAGAAAATAATGTTTTCCCAGTAAGTTCAGCCTCTCAGTCATCTCCGACTTTTTGTGACCCCATGGATTGCAGCACACCAGGCTTCCCTGTCCATCACCAACTCCTGGAGATTACTCAAATTCATGTCCATCGAGTTGGTGATGCCATCCAACCGTCTGATCCTCTGTCGTCCCCTTCTCCCCCTGCCTTTAATCTTTCCCAGCATCAGGGTCTTTTCAAATGAGTCAGTTCTTCCCATCAGGTGGCCAAAGTATTGGAGCTTCAGTATAAGTCCTTCCAATGAATATTCAGGACTGATTTCCTTTAGGATGGACTGGTTGGATATGCTTGCAGTCCAAAGGACTCTCAAGAGTCTTCTCCAACACCACAATTCAAAACCATCAATTGTTCGGTACTCAACTTTCTTTACAGTCCAACTTTCACATCCATTCATGACTACTAGAAAAACCACAGCTTTGACTAGACGGATCTTTGTTGGCAAAATAATGTCTCTGCTTTTTAATATGCTGCCTAGGTTTGTCACAGCTTTCCTTCCAAGGAGCAAGCATCTTTTAATTTCATGGCTGCAATTACCATCTGCAGTGATTTTGGAGCCCCTCAAAATAAGGTCTCTCACTGTTTCCACTGTTTCCCCATCTATTTGCCACGGAGTGATGGGACCAGATGCCATGATCTTAGTTTTCTGACTATTGAGCTTTAAGCCAACCTTTTCACTCTCCTCTTTCACTTTCATCAAGAGGCTCTTTAGTTCTTCTTCACTTTCTGCCATAAGGGTGATGTCATCTGCATATCTGAGGTTATTAATATTTCTCCCGGCAATCTTGATTCCAGCTTGTGCTTCCTCCAGCCCAACGTTTCTCATGATGTACTCTGCATATAAGTTAAATAAGCAGGGTGACAATATACAGCCTTGACATACTCCTTTCCCAATTTGGAACCAGTCTGTTGTTCCATGTCTGGTTCTAACTTTTGCTTCCTGACCTGCATACAGATTTCTCAGGAGGCAGATCAGATGGTCTGGTATTCCCATCTCTTGAAGAATTTTCCACAGTTTATTGTGATCCACACAGTCAAAGGCTTTGGCATAGTCAGTAAAGCAGAAATAGATGTTTTTCTGGAACTCTCTTGCTTTTTCGATGACCCAATGGATGTTGGCAATTTGATCACTGGTTCCTCTGCCTTTTCTAAATCCAGCTTGAACATCTGGAAGTTCCCGGTTCACGTACTGTTGAAGCCTGGCTTGGAGAATTTTGAGCATTACTTTGCTAGCGTGTGAGATGAGTGCAGTTGTGCAGCAGTTTGAACATTCTTTGGTACTGCCTTTCTTACCAGGGTAAACTGACAATGTGCTCATAGCCAAAGGTCACTGGCTAGGACATCTGGTCACCAGGGCCAGCCCTGCCACTCAAAGGCCTGGGCAATCATTATCTTTAGCTATCTGTGGCAAATTGGTAAGTTCTTCCATAAAGCATATACTAGGAAAAAAAAAATCAATAGTGAGAGAACTCTTTAGGTACAGGTGGTCTCTGCATTAACAAATAGTAAAAAAATATATATATTAGTTTTCTTCAAAAATACATATAAAGCATTTAACTGTCTTGCATCTGATGGTCTTTTGAACTGTATATATCTCATCACACTATGAAGACTGTCAGAAATAATCAACATCTCAGTTCTTTAGAATACCAGTAAACAACTACTGGAAAGCCTGCTTTAAGGGCGGCCCCTCATCACCATCTGACCATCACCAGTAATGGGTCCGCTTGTGTTTCGAAGCAGTGCTTTGAAGCTGGCTCCTTCCAGCAGGACAGGTGACCCCAGGGCACCTCCTGTGCCCTTCTACTTACATCTCCAATCATCACAGTCTCCTCGGGTTCACAGCCAGTGCCCCGCAACGCCTCCAGAAAGAACGTTTTCTCTGGTTTCCCCACGACCGTGGCTTTGGTATCTGTGGCGTACTCTAAAGCAGTCACAAATGGTCCAGGCCCCAGGGCTAAGCCATCTTTCCTCTTGTAATACCTGGCTTTGTGGATTGCTATCAGAGGCGCTCCATCCAGGAGTAACCTACAGAGACAGAGACAATGGTAATTGGCTAAAAGCAAGGCTTTTTTATGAGAGGAAAAGAATGTCACACTTACAAAGTGGTTTTATTCACTCACAGAAACAACTAGTTTCATATTAACTTTTAATGACTTGCTGTCTTCTAATGAATTTGCTAGGAACTGCTGGGAATTACACTCAGATACACTAAAGAAAGGTGATAGATTATTAAATTTGGGATTGCTTCAACCTTTTACCTTTAGTGGTTTCAGACACTTTACCCAAATCATCAGGGAAAGAGAATTAAGAGAAGTAAAGCTAAATAAGACACTCGAGGGAAGAAGCTTAACTTAATGAGACAAGTTGTTTCAACCTCCCTAATGGTAAGCAGGAGGCTCCTGAGCCTTTAACAATATGACTCAACTGCTGTGCAGTGACACGTTTAGCGAACTCCTAAAATACCTGGCTCCCTCTTTTCTCTACTCCAAAATGTTAAGATTCTTAATTCAGAAATTTCATAGAGCATTTTACAAATATTTTCTGCTTGTATCATCCCCTCTTCATTTCACCCTTTGACTGCTTCTGCTGTTACTCTGAAAATCAGGCCATTTTCACTGAAGGACAAAGCAGCAAGGCTTAAGGGGAAATGTCAAGTCCCGTCCTTTTTCCTGATGGAGGACAAACACTCTCACACCAACTGAAAGGGCATGAAGAGTTTTCTCATTAGAGAACCAAACTGCATACAGTTAAGGATCCTCATTAGTGACTCAGGCAAAACATAACAAAAGAAACTCCCCAAGCCCCACCAATCCCATCCACAAACAATCTGCCTTCCATCCCCACACTGCAGCCTACATACAGTCACACAGCAAAGAGTCACACACCCATTATCATCGCATCATATACGGGACATGATAGTCTTCCTAAGCTGCTTTTAACCAATGGAATAAATGATCTCACTAGCTTAATTTACTTTAAGTCATCTACTTAGTTAAAATATTTAGTATGTCCATTGAGGCAGAATTCATCACATCTTACCCTTCACAATTATGAGTAATTAAGCGCTCAACTATGAAACTGCTAAATTATTCTTGTCAGTGGGCATGGTAATGCCTTCCTGTGGGAGATGCAGGATTCAGACATTTATGATTAAATATTTTATTAAGTAAAAACCAATACTGGCCTATTACAGGGCCTTATTGTTAGTTACTATGAATTGCTCACAGCACAGGATGGATCCTTCAAATTATTCTCTAATATTAATACAAATTTATTTCTTAAGCAGATCTTAAAATCCAACGGTTAGGAAACCTGATAAGGCCACTATGCTGGCCCTAAAGAACCACAGCTGATTGAAACGAGAGAATAATGAGTGATTTATCTATCTCCCCTCTTGTCACCCTGCACCCAATCCCATTTATTTGCTACTCTACCACGGAACTGGAATTCTTTATGCAGCAGACCTCAAAATTGCTTTTCACTTACACAGCTAAACTAAAAACTCATTTGATTTAGCTTTGTTAATATTTTATTATATATTAACTGGGTATAAGACTTATCAGCTTGATTGATGTGTGTACTTAATTCCCAGGCAGTGCTTTAGTGCCTTCCCTGGAAGGGTTGAAACTGTGGGTTCCTCTGCATTTCTCTAAATGGGAACTGGTTCCACATGGGCCTGGAGAAGACAGGCATCTCTCAGGGAAGTGGTTCCTGCTTCTGTCATTCTTCTCTGTATAGCAGAAGATTTACTGAATCTTAGCAAGAGCCAAGGCATGTTCAGGGTAGACTGAAAGGTAAATTATTTTCTAGGACACAGATTAAAAGTTTTTTTTTTTAATAGTTAACACTTCCAAAAATGAGAGAAAATAGACATCATACTACTTAGAGGTGTTTGTACATTTCCTAGGCAGGGCAATTGATTTGTTATCAGAAGTAACACGTCAGCAAGAAATCTGAGGATTTTCTATCTCTATTTGACTGTAAGTCCATTGAGTTACCAGAAACAAGGAAAAAAGGCATCAAGGCCTCATGCAGAAATCCTTGGCTATAAACTCCATGTAGGCCAAGGGAAAAAACTACAAAAAAGACCTAGCCAGGAAGCACATTACTGAAAGGGATGGTAAAGAACACAAAGTCCAGCACACTCCATTTTACAGGATCATCCGGCAATGCCAGCGGAGACCAAGGAGAGCAGGAACCCAGAACTCCAGAAAACCACTTTTCTAAGAAAAAAAAAAAAAGCAACTTTTTACCATTTCTGCTGAAGATGGAGCATGTGGAAATGAATTACATGGCAGCTTAAGCAACTGCCAGAAGCTTCCCATTTGCCCAACGTCAAACTAGTGAGTCCTTTTCTTCCCACTCCCCCAAACGACTCTCCCCCAATCTTTCTCAGCTTAGTAAATTCACCCCATTGCTCAAGCCAGAAACCCAGCAGTGATCCTTGATTTTTTACTTTCCCTCACCCTTCCATCTCCCTTTATTAGCATATCCAATAACTTCCAAGTCCAAAAAAAAATAAAAACGTCTCCAGTCTTACTTTCTCAGCTGAACCTCTGCAATAGTCAACTCGTCTTCCTGCTTTCTGCTGTTGCCCTATTATACCAACCCATAGTACAGGCAATAGAAGGAATTTTAAAAATACAGGCAAGATCATGTATGTCTCTGCTCAGCTTAAAAAAAAATAACCTCTTACTGCAAAGAGTGCAAAAATCCAAAGTCCTCTCTGCAGCCAGTGAGGCCTGGCTTCATCTGGCCACCGTTTACATCTCCAATCTCAAGACAGCTTCCCTATTGTTGACTACATACCAAAAAGGTCAAACTCTTTCCTGCTTCAGCCCCCACACACGGTGTTCCCTCCTCCTGAAACACTGCCCCATACTTTGCACAGGGCTTTCTTCTGCTCACCTGTCAGATCTCAGTTTGAAGTCAGCACACAGAAGCCGCCATTGCCAATCTCCCTACAAAGTGGACTTCCTCCTCACAGTTCAGCTCCATCTCATCTTTTTTCCTTTCTATCAACTTTCTTTTCTTTTTTTTTTTAATTTTAATTTTTTTTTTTAATTTTTTATTTTTTTCCATTTATTTTTATTAGTTGGAGGCTAATTACTTTACATCATTGCAGTGGTTTTTGTCATACATTGAAATGAATTAGCCATGGATTTACATGTATTCCCCATCCCGGTCCCCCCTCCCACCTCCCTCTCCACCCGAATTCTTACTCAGCTGAGTTGGGTTTGTCTTCCTTGCTAGCATATAATCTCCACTATGCCCATCAGTTTTGCTCATCACTGTGTTTCTTACTTAAAAAAAAAAAAAAATCCAAATAAAAATCAAGCCGTGGGGCACTTCTCCGGGGGCTCAGTGGTAAGGAATCCACCTGCCAATGCAGGAGACGTGAGTTCGATACCTGGGTTGGGAGGATCCCACGTGCCGCAGAGCAACTAAGCTCATAGGCCACAACTACTGAGTCTGGGCTCTAGAGTCCAGCAACTGCAATTACTGAGCGCACACACCACAGCCACTGAGGCCCACGCGCTCTTGAGCCTTTACTCTGCAACAAGAGAAGCCACCACGATAAAAAGCCCACACATCACAACTAGAAAGTAGCCCCCACTGGCCCCAACTAGAGAAAAGCCCACACAAAGCAATGAAGACCTAGCACAGCCAAAAAATAAAATAAATAAATAAAATTATAAAAAAAAAAAGCCCAAACAAACTCTGGGATCTTTCACTAGACACTTACTGAATAAATTCATTAATGGATGAAGCACTGTATGCCTCAGTATCCTTATCCTGATCTATAACATGGAGAATAATGCTTACCTTTTTGGGGAATAAAGATGATATATGTAAACTTTTTCATAATATCTGACAGTAATGATAATTATTTTTATTCATAAATATGGGAAGAGTAGTGTCTGTGCTACTTAAAATAAGTAACAGCAAATCACTTCACATTTTTGGGTCTTGGTTTCTTATCAAATGAAGGAACTGAATCAGATTAGGTCTTTCAACCTCAACACCTTTGACATTTTTTACTGAAAAATGCTTATTGTGAGAGGAGGCTGTCTTATACCCTGTTGGATGTTTGGCAGCATCTATGGCCTCTACCCACTAGATGTCAGATGTACTCTTTTCCCCCAGTTGTGACAACCAACATTGTCTCCAGACATTGGCAAATGTCCCCCTGGGAGCAAAAATGTCCAGAGTTGAGAACAACAACTAGAGGATGCCAAAATCTTGACCTTCATGGGCTTCCCTGGTAGTCCAGTGGTTAAAAATCTGCCTGCCGACGCAGGGGACACGGGTTTGATCCCTGGTCTGGGAAGACTCCACCTGCGGTAGGGCAGCTAAGCCTGTGCCCCACAACTACAGAGCCCGTTCCCTGGGCCCATGCTCTGCAACGAGAGAAGCCACGGTAATGAGAAGCCTGTGCACCACAGCTACAGAGGACCCCCACTTGCCACAACCAGAGAAAGCCAGTAGGCAGCCACAAAGACCCTGCACACACCCCTCAAAAAACCAGAATAACAACCAAAAACTGGACGCTCAATACAATTAAAACGAAAACCAATCAATCTGACAAACACAAACTACCAAAAGTTCAAATCAAAACAATAGCAAATCATTAAATATATCAAGAGAGAATCCCATCAACACTTAATTGAAACCCCCAGAATATCTCCAATGTCATATTAACACAGCAATTTTCTCACTTATAGTAGGCTACCAACTATCACCACTTCTGTTTGGTATTGTAGTTGGGGTCCCAGAGAGTATAATAAAGAAAAAGAAATGAAAATACAAAGACTGGTAGGGGAGAAGTAAAATTGTCATTATTTGTGGTTGACACAATTATCTATGCAGACAATTCAATTCAAAAGATTTTACAAATAAATTATTAGAATTAGCAAGTGAATGTAAGGTGAATGAATAAACACAAGGTTAACATACAAAATCTCAATTATATTTCTAAATATTAGCAATGAACAATTAAAAACAAAATTTAACAAACTACTACT